GCTGTTGTGGGAAGTGATAGTCCAAGGGCCATACATTCACTATATATACACATGGCCTAAAACAAATTTTCATGCAATTTGTATTTCACAATACTCTATTTTCTTCCTCCCCAGCATGCTACCCATACTTTCCTCAGTATGCGATAAAAAGTTTCCTTCAGAGTGAGGCTATGGTTTGCTGAGTGAAAATCTCTTACATTCTTTCAATAACAATCATTCCATAGATCCCACCCAGAGCAAGCTAGTCAAATATGTGAGCTCAAAGAGGTACTTAGTTGGCTGGTACTGGAGACAATTCAGTGCATTCTGTTCTAAAATTCCTATTTAACCCACTTTTCTTATTTTTAGATAATCTACAATTATATAGGGTATTTCCTTCTACAGTATTTCCTTCCCACAGCATTTTACAGATAAACCAATATATAAACTATACAGAGATAGCTGCATTTCAGTGGTGGATAGAGCAATCTCTGAAGTGGAACATTGCACGTGTTTTTAACAGGGCACAAAAATACTGCATAACCGTTTAGGACAAACTGGGAATGACAGTATTGAACTGAAATTGCAGTGGAATTTAGATCGTGTATGTAAACTTTATAGGGGATTTTTTTTTATTACATGGTTTACCTGACACAAGTAACCTTTCAATTTGGTCACATCATCACAGTTTAAGTTTCACATTTGTAAAATGATGTAGAAGAAAATGACTTGTCCTGGAGAGCAGACCGTTATTGCGCACGCACTCGGTGTTTAAACATCTCATGAAAAATCTCAGAATAACTTTAATTTACATACCTCCTTTCTTTCAGAAGAATACCAAAGTGCTTTATAAACGCAGACTGAGATACCAGTTTTACACAAACCAATTCAGTCACCTCTAGAGTGAAAAACATAGCTGTGTAACAGAACATAGCAACACTGGATGATTGTTTGGGACTGGCAGTGAAGAATACAATATTCATGTGTAAGTGTCGTGGCAATTTAGTTTGGTAGAATTTAAATACCAGAATAGAAATTAATCCAGAAGTGTATCTGACATCCCTGCTTTCATAATATTAAAAGTAATATGAGGTCATTCAAGCCACAGGGACTTAAAAATGTAGTTGTTATATCAGGTACAAAGATAAAATTTCAAGCAGCAGGACAGTAAACCCTAAATGAAACTGGGGTAATAGTTCAGTAGTGACTACGCATCTCACTCTTTTGAGACTTAAATGTGCTTCTGTTCCACTCTAGCTTGTTGTTGTCTTTCTTTTCTGAAAATTATTTAAGTTAACAAATGTAGTCTTTAAACTTGAGGCTGTTAAAATACTTTAGTCCTGTACAAGACAGAGTACCCATTTCCTTCAGATTACTTTTCTCCCTGGGTTCCTGCTGACATGTATGGAAGCACATGTTGCAGGCTGCCATTCATGCACTGCTTTTCCTATTTTCTACAAGAGGAGAAGAGGCATGCTGTCTCAGGGTAAGTCTACACTTAAAACACTGCTTTGGCGCAACTGCCACTGCTATAGCACTTTAACAGAGACACTGTAAGTCGCCGGAAGAAAGCTCTTCCATCAGCTTAATTAATCCACCTCCTTAAGAGGCGGTAGTTATGTTGGTGGGAAAAGCGCTGTCTACACGGGGGGGAGGGGGGGAAGAATACGTGTTAGGTCAGTACAACTACAGCACTCAGGAGTATGGCTTTTTCATACCCCTGAGCGATGCAGTTATACCAATTGACAGGTTGCAGAGTAGCAGCCGTGTTAGTCTGTAGTCGCAAAAAGAAAAGGAGTACTTGTGGCACCTTAGAGACTAACCAATTTATTTGAGCATAAGCTTTTGTGAGCTACAGCTCACTTCATCGGATGCATTCAGTGGATAATACAGTGGGGAGATTTATATACATAGAGAACATGAAACAATGGGTGTTACCATACACACTGTAACAAGAGGGTGATCGCTTAAGGTGGGTAGCGGATAGAATACCCCAGGTCGGGGTTCCAGGGGTGTGTCTGTGCGGATTTGTTCTTGTGCTTTTTCAGGGAGTTTCTTGAGCAAATGGTGTAGTTCCTTTTGGTAACCCTCAGTGGGATCAGAGGGTAATGACTTGTAGAAAGTGGTGTTGGAGAGCTGCCTAGCAGCCTCTTGTTCATATTCTGACCTATTCATGATGACGACAGCACCTCCTTGGTCAGCCTTTTTGATTATGATGTTAGAGTTGTTTCTGAGGCTGTGGATGGCATTATGTTCTGCACGGCTGAGGTTATGGGGCAAGTGATGCTGCTTTTCCACAATTTCAGCCCGTGCACATTGGTGGAAGCACTCTATGTAGAACTCTGTTGTTTCGACCTTCAGGAGGAGTCCACCCAGAATCCTTCTTTTTGTAGTCTTGGTAGGAAGGTCTCTGTGGGTTAGTACGTTGTTCAGAGGTGTGTTGGAAATATTCTTTGAGTCGGACACGTTGAAAATAGGATTCTAGGTCACCACAGAACTGTATCATGTTCATGGAGGTGGAGGGGCAGCAGGAGAGGCCCCGAGATAGGACAGATTCTTCTGCTGGGCTAAGAGTATAGTTGGATAGATTAACAATATTGCTGGGTGGGTTAAGGGAACCACTGTTGTGGCCCTTGTGGCATGTAATAGAGAGTTTAGTGTCCTTTTTCTTTTGTAGAGAAGCCAAGTGTGTGTTGTAAATGGCTTGTCTAGTTTTTGTAAAGTCCAGCCACGAGGAAGTTTGTGTGGAAGGTTGGTATTTTATCGCTTCCTCAGCTCTTGTCCCCTAATGCCCCTACTCTACTTGCGCTACAGTGATAACATCTACATCATCTGGATCCATGGAAAAGAAGCCCTTGAGGAATTCCACCAGGATTTCAACAATTTCCATCCCACCATCAACCTCAGCCTGGACCAGTCCACACAAGAGATCCACTTCCTGGACACTACAGTGCTAATAAACAATGGTCACATAAGCACCACCCTATACCGGAAACCTACTGACTGCTATTCCTACCTACATGCCTCCAGCTTTCATCCAGACCACACCACATGATCCATCGTCTACAGCCAAGCTCCACGATACAACCGCATTTGCTCCAACCCCTCAGACAGAGACAAACACCTACAAGATCTCTATCAAGCATTCTTACAACTACAATACCCACCAGCTGAAGTGAAGAAACAGATTGACAGAGCCAGAAGAGTACCCAGAAGTCACCTACTACAGGACAGGCCCAACAAAGAAAATAACAGAACGCCACTAGCTGTCACCTTCAGCCCCCAACTAAAACCTCTCCAACGCATCATCGAGGATCTACAACCTATCCTGAAGGACGACCCATCACTCTCACAGATCTTGGGACACAGGCCAGTCCTTGCTTACAGACAGCCCCCAAACCTGAAGCAAATACTCACCAGCAACCACACACCACACAACAGAACCACTAACCCAGGAACCTATCCTTCCAATAAAGCCCGTTGCCAACTGTGTCCACATATCTATTCAGGGCACACCATCATAGGGCCTAATCACATCAGACACACTACCAGAGGCTTGTTCACCTGCACATCTGCCAATGTGATATATGCCATCATGTGCCAGCAATGCCCCTCTGCCATGTACATTGGTCAAACTGGACAGTCTCTATGTAAAAGAATAAATGGACACAAATCAGACGTCAAGAATTATAACATTCACAAACCAGTCGGAGAACACTTCAATCTCTTTGGTCACTCGATTACAGACCTAAAAGTGCCAATTCTTCAACAAAAAAAACTTCAAAAACAGATTCCAACGAGAGACTGCTGAATTGGAATTAATTTGCAAACTGGATATAATTAACTTAGGCTTGAATAGAGACTGGGAGTGGAGGAGTCATTACACAAAGTAAACTATTTCCCCATGGTTATTCCCCCCCCTCCATAGTTCCTCAGACGTTCTTGTCAACTGCTGGAAATGGCCCACCTTGATTATCACTACAAAAGGTTCTCCCCTTCCTCCCCCCCCTACCCCCCTCCCGCTGGTAATAGCTCACCTTAAGTGATCACTCTCCTTACAGTGTGTATGGTAACACCCATTGTTTCATGTTCTCTATGTATATAAATCTCCCCACTGTATTTTCCACTGAATGCATCCGATGAAGTGAGCTGTAGCTCACGAAAGCTTACGCTCAAATAAACTGGTTAGTCTCTAAGGTGCCACAAGTACTCCTTTTCTTTTTGCGAATACAGACTAACACAGCTGTTACTCTGAAACCTATGATCACAAAAACACCAACCAATGCAGAGGTCTAGATCAGCCCATAGAGCCTGAAACAGTATCTCTGAAAGGTGTGAATTGCTCTATACCGCTCAGATGTTCAGGGATAGTAATTTAAATGCCCATAGTGTCAGTCATTTCATCCGCCTTGTAAGAAAGGAGCAGGAGGATCCTATATCTACACCAGCTACCGCAACACCCCACGTCGGGGTCACGAGGGGACTGGCCTTGGGAGACGCCCCCGCTCCTTCTGCTCTCCCAGTCGACGATCACGTTGATCTGAACGACCTCAGGCGAAGGCGTCTCATGTTGACAGCTCGTCGGGGGACGACGGCGGCGCTTAACCCTGTGGGCAGAGACACCGCCCCCCCATCACCACGCCCCCGCCCTTCCCCTCCGACTCCTCCCGAGCCTCTGCTCCCCCGCCTCTCCCATCCCGTGCGGGCGGGGAGGTGTCTCGTGGCCGCCCCCCGCCCCGGAGCGCGCGGAAAGTCGTTGCCGTGCCCGATGCGACACTAGCGCCCTTTCACCAACGAGGCCCCGCGTGCTCAGCCGAGAGCCGGCTTTGGAGTGGGGGCGGCGGCGTCCGCATCCCCCCGGCGCGATGCGGCAGGGCGCTGCCCCAGAGGGTCTACCAGCCAGTCACCGGGGGGGGGGGGGGGAGGGAGTGGGGGCGGGAACGGCGCTTGTGCACCCACCGGGAGGCCACCTGAAGGGCGGGCACGACACGACCTCCCGCGCGGCTGGTCCCCCCCAATACCTGTGCGGGGGTGGGTGGGGGGGGCGGGACTCCGCTCCTTCCTGCAGCAGCGCCTCTACCTTATGGACAACGTAGTGACGGCAAGCAGAAAAAGACAAACTTCCCGCCCACACCAGAGGCGCCAGGGGCGACGCTGAGCTCGTGACGGCGTTTTTGCAGCCACTTCGGCGCGCGCGCGCTAAGGGTCCAGCAGCAGCGGCCCCAGGGCGCAGCAGCTTCCTCGTCTCCCCAGCTCGCGCGGCGCCGGCAGCGCTCCAGCGGGCGAGGCCCGCGCAGGGGCAGAGCTTCGGCGCACAGCGTAGGGGGCGGGAGCTCGGCGTGTCGCGCGGCGGCGGCGGCAGGAGGGCGGGGTTCGCAGGCTCGCGCCGGAGGCGGGACCGAGTGTCTCGAGCCGGGGCCGCGGGAGGGAGCCGAGCGTGAGGGAGAAGCGGGCGGGGAGGAGCCGAGTTTCAGTCTGGCTGGTGTCGCGGCCCCCTCGCTCCCCCTCCGTGGCTGACAGGCGGCAGCCGGAGCCCCCCGGGCGGGCAGCAGGTGAGAGAGGGGCCCCCGCGACCCGAGGGGAGCCTGGGCCGGGGCCTGCGGGGACCGGGAGCCGCCGGCTGCGGCTGAGGGGTAGGATGCGGCCGGGGATGCGAGGCTGAAGCTGAGGGGCGGCCTGGTACTGTAGGATCCGCCGCCAGCTCAGGTGGGTCTCGCCCCGGCAGTGGCCGAGACCCCTCCCTTTCCAGCCCCGCGCGCTCGGGCGGCCTGTCTGCAGGCTAGGAGAGCCGGGGGCGCTCGGGTGGGGCCGGGGGTGGCTGGCAGGGAGCGGACTCTGCCTGGCCCCTTCTCTTCCTTGGTGCCGGGGGAGGCGCGGGGCCTGGGGCAGTCCTGCCGGCGCCTCGCACCCCCTGTAGCTCCTCGCACCCGTGTCTGGCTAGGGCGTTGTGTTTCTTCTGCCCTCGGGCACCTCTTCCCCCTGCGGGACAGCCCGGAGAAAGGAAACGGCAGGGATCGCATCGTAGCAACCTGCCTCTATTTCCTCCCGACGGAGACACAAGGGGGGTCTGTGTCTTCTCTGGTGACATTGCTCAGGGCTTGTGGGTGTAATAAATATATCTTGACTCTTTGATTTTTGTGACCATCACAGTAGCCCCCCCCCTCCGAATTTTGTATTCCAGTTATCCAACCCCAGTATTTGGATCTGCATTTACTGTAAAAAAAAATTATTCTTAAATGGGGCAATAATATCTATTATATATCAGAGGGATAGCCCTTTTAGTCTGTATCCACAAAAACAACAAGGAGTCCCTTGGAACCTCTAACGACTAACAGATTTATTTGGGTGTAGGCTTTTGTGGGTAAAAAACCTACTTTGGATGCATGGAGTGAAAATTTCAGGTACAGGCATAAATATATATTGGTACATGAAGAGAATGGAGTTACCTTACAAGTGGATTAGCAGTGTTGAAGGTCAATTCAGTCAGGGTAGATGTGATCCAATCCCAATAATTGATGTGGAGGTGTCAATACCAAGAGAGGGAAAATTGCTTTTATAGTGAGCCAGCCAATCCCAGTCCCTATTCAAACCCAAATTGATGGTGTTAAATTTGCAAATTAATTGTAGCTCTGCAGTTTCTCTTTGATGTCTGTGTTTGAAGTTTTTTTGTTGAAGAATGGTTACTTTTAAATGTGTTACTGAATGTCATGTTATATATGGTATGAATGTCAGATATGTTGTTTGGCTTGAGGTATTTTTATCCAAATGCTGCAGAATCTAAAGTGTCATTACAAACTAATGAGTTTTTAATCTGTGGTGGCTGTAAATTAACCTTCTAAATGAAAAGTGAGTGTAAACTGATAGAGTGCTATGTTCCTGGGTCTGCAGACATCTTGAAACAATAGCTCTGGGAAAATGTGAATTTGCCTGCTCCCCATATCACTCTAACTAGGGTATTAAATCTAAAGCCTAATTATGAAACTACATGTTGTCATCAGCAAATTTTATCATGGATCATTTAATCATAGCCAATGGGGAATGGTGTGGGAGTAAAGCTGATGGTGTTAGGGAAAATTTGGCAGTGGCTTTAAGATAGCGTGTGTAGAGATAGAAAAAGAAAGCGGAGAGACCCACAAAAGACAAAGTGGTAGAGAAACAAAGTAAGGAGGATGGTGAAATAAGAGAAGAAGGAGACGTACCAATGCTGGTAAAGGTAAGAATATGTTTGTCATATTCTGTCCTTGATTATTTTGCAGGCCTCCCTTCGACGTCTGTGGTTGAATAATGGAAATGCATAGTTGTACACTTGTGCCCTGGCCAGCTCCAAAGAATGAATTTGACACCCCATAATGGTATTATCGCTTTGTCATTTAGCTCAGTACTGACTAGAGTTAGATGAGACTGTGGTTTAAAAAACCAAACAAACTAGCACCTTGACTATACTAATATGGCTAGGGCAGTAGTATAATAGTGAACATTATAAATAAATATAAATATACTGCAGTGAACATGGCCATTGGTGGCTAATCTATGATCACTTGTAGTGAGGGAGCTATTTGAAACTCAGCACACTGATAGTAATGGCACAGCCCAAAATCTTGGGATAGAGCATAGTTCTTGAATGCTACCAGAGTGGATAAAAATCAATGAATAAAAAAAAAAATCAGATTTTATTTAAATCAGATTTTTTGAAAAAAAGTTTTTTCCTCAAAAAGCATATCTTAAAGATAGATACATTATAGCTCAAAGATATCTCATCATGGAATAGGGATTATAAATTCTAATTCTATAGTATGAGACAATATATTCATGGAATGTTTAAGAAAAGATATGTAAATGAGTTCCAATAGCTCATGGATTAGGGACCCAATCTTATGGGGTTCCAGGGGCTTCTGTATAGATTATTTAGGTTAATCTTTCTCTCTACCCAATGGGACTCAGTGCTCAGTCTAGAAGATGAGCTCAGTGGTTTGAGCATTGCCCTGCTAAACTCAGGGTTGAGAGTTCAATCCTTGAGGGGGCCATTTAGGGTTCTGGGGCAGAAACTGGGGATTGGTCTTGCTTTGTGCAGGGAGTTGGACTAGATGACCTCCTGAGGTCCCTTTCAACCCTGATATTCTATGATCATTTGTTTCTCTCTTTATGGAAACCTTACAATACCATCAAAGATGCTTAGTTTTGCAGTTCTCAAACTGTGGATTTGTGTCTCCAGAAGTAACATACTTGTTAACAGCAAAAATGTTTTTAAATAAATATGTAGAGGTGAGAAATAACAGACCTCAACTCTGTTGTCCCTCTGCAAATTTGTGTACACACAGTCAATCTCTTACCTCTCTCTAAAAGTGCAAAGTTTCAAAAAGTTCAATGTTTGTTGGGTGCAGAATAGATCTGGACAAGGAGAAGAAGTCTGGAGATAAATGTGAGAAGTGAGGGACATATCCTTGTTTTGTTAAAATATTATATGTTTTCTGTTGAAGAAAACATGCAGAATACTTAACCTTGCTGTTTTAGTTAAATAAAACAATTTAAAAGTCTGTCTGGTGATGTTCTCCTCCTAATACAGCTTAGCAAGAAAGTCCTCTAAATATTAATGATTAACCTGTTGAATTGGAGATCGTTCACTTCCCAATGACTTCATAAATATCTGCTTCAGTTACCTTTGATAAATAAAATAACCAAACAATCGTTCATTTTCTGATATAGATGTAAATCTAATCTGAAAAGTTTTCAAAATAAATCAGTGTTTAAAAATGTATAGTGTGTACCTTCTAAAAATGAAACCTACATCTATCTCTGAGTTGTGAAGAATGTGTATTAAGGTTATAACAACCAACAAGAATGCACTTTTATGTAGAAAACCATGATTAAATCGAGTCTTCCTGACTAGTGATTTAAATCAAATCCACCCTGAATGCTATTTAATATGGTTGGATCTTTTCCATGTTGGCTGGCCAAAGTTTATTAAAACAAATTTAACTGGAACCAAGGCAGAATATAGACGTTAATAAGAGGCCCTGTTTATATTACAGGAGAAGTGTTATCCAGGAATGCTTTAAAATCTTTTTTAGATGAGAACTAGTACTGTTTCTCTGGCCATGTTATAAACGTTTATTAGGCCCTTATTTCATCAATAACTGGTTAGTGGCATGACTGGCTAAATGTTTACTAACTTGTGAATTTAATCATGGGCTACCCCTCAACTGGCCTCATCTGGCACGCAGTTGTTAGCCCAACACCACAACTAATAGTTTGCCTCAGATTTTAATAAGGGTAATGAGGAATTTAGAAGTAGTATCAGTGTGGCTAATTGGAATGAGGATATGGAGATAGAAATTACCATGTCTGAGGTGGAAGGCAAATGCAAACAGCTTGGGACCAAATCAGGGGGCCCGGATAATTTCCATTCAAGAATATCAGAGGACCAGGCGCATGAAATTGCAAACCCAAGAGCAAGGATTTTAATGAATCTGTAAACTCAGGAGTCATAACTTATTACTGGAGAATTGCTAAGATAGTACCTATTTTTAAGGGGGGGGGGCGGGAATTATCTGGGAAACTACAGGCTCGTTAGTTTAACCTCAGTTGTATGTAAGATCTTGGAATAGAGGTCCCCAAACTGCAGTGCGTCCCCCTAGGGGGCTGTGGAGGAATGTTTGGGGGGGGGCGCAGTGGGGCCAGGCCAGTGCCCACGGGAGGTAGGGAGGGAGTGCCACCTGGACCCTCCCTGCTTCCTGCTCTGCTCCGGTCCCACCCCCAGCCTGAGCTCCTGGCTGCAGCTCCATTCCCGGCCCAGGGCCAACGGTGGGAGTGGGTTGGGAGTGGAGCTGGGTCTGGTTGCTGACCCCCATTGCAGCCTGGCTGCGGCTCTGCTCCTGCCCCCAGCTTTGGCCCTTAGTCGCGGCTCCGGCCCCAGCCCACTCCCGGCCCCAGACCCACCTCCAGCTCTGGCACCAGCCTCGGCCCCCTTACCCATCTGCGACCCCCCCCACCCCTGAGCTGTGACCTCCCTCCCTGGCCCCGAGGGGGCACAGACAGTTGTAAGAGAGGGATGACCCTCAAAAGTTTGGGGACCACGGTCTTAGAACAAATTTTGAAAGAAAATACTTAAGGACATAGAGGTAAACAGAAATTGGAATAAAATGCAACATGGTTTTACAAAAGGTACATCTTGCCAAACCAACATTATCTCTTTCTCTGAGAAGATAACTGATTTTCTAGAAAAAGGAAAGGCAATAGATTAATCAACCTGGATTTCAATAAGGCATTTGATACAGTTCCACATGGGAAGTTATTAGTTAAATTGGGGAAGATGGGGATTAATACAAGAATTGAAAGGTGGATAAAGAACTGGTTGAAGGGGAGACTACAGCATATTATACTGAGAGGTGACCTGTCAGTCTGCATAGAAGTTACTAGTGGATTTCCTCAGGGATCGGTCTTGGAACCAATCTTGTTTTAACATTTTCATTAATGAACTTTGTGCACAAAGTGGGAATGTGCTAATAAAATTGGCAGATGACAAAAAATTGGGAGGTATTGCCAATCTGGAGGA